AGCTCTGGCCGTTGTGGCCATCTGGGGAGTAACCAGTGGATGGAAGACCTCTTTCTCTCTCTCTCTGCCTCTCTGTAAATCTGCCTTTCAAATAAATAAATAAATCTTTAAAAAAAGAAGAAAATTCATGATTTCTGCCACTGTGTCAAAATGTACATTTTAGGTTAAGATTAAATATATATAATTTGTTCTTCTATAAAAATTCGGTCATCTAAAGTAAACTCAATTGAAGGTTTAATTACATATTTATTTTGGATTTACTTATTAGGAGTTAAAAGTTCATTTTGTCAGGTACTTATTATAGTTAAGAAAGGAAATAAAATTCATATCCAAGGAAACATACAAATAAGATGTCCCAGTACAAATATCTGTAGAAATTCCTTCACTATTACTGACATAGCACAGGTTAGAACTGTGCAGTTAGAACCAGAAGGAAATAAGAGTGATAGAAAAGAAATATGCATTTTCTTAAGGCCTAAAATTTAAAAAATAATGTATACTTGAATATTGCTTGGGGCCAGCGCTGTGGCACAATAGGTTAATCCTCTGCCTGCAGCACCAGCATCCCATATGGGCACCAGTTCTAGTACCAACTGTTCCTCTTCTGATCTAGCTCTCTGCTATGGCCCGGGAAAGCAGTGGAAGATGGCCCAAGTCCTTGGATCCCTGCACCAGTGTAGGAGGCCAGGAAGAAGCACCTGGCTCCTGGCTTCGGATCAGCTCAGCTCCAGCCATTGCGGCCATTTGGGGAGTGAAACAATGGAGGGAAGACCTTTCTCTCTGTCTCTCCCTCTCACTGTCTGTAACTCTACCTTTCAAATAAATAAATAAAAAAAAGAAAAGAAAATTGCTAAGAGAACAGATTTTAAATGTTTTTAACTGCACATAGGAAGAAAGATAATTATGTTAAGAGATGAATATCTTAATTGACTTGATTGCATCATTTTACAGTTTATACATATGGTAAAACATGTTAACATCATAAAGATATACAATTTGTATTTGTCAGTTGAAACCTATTTGTATACATGTGAATTTCTCTTGATAAGTTTGAGGAGGACATTTAAATAAATGCAAAATGGCAACATATTTGAACATAACATTTCTAAAATTTTTTTTAAAAAGTTTTATTTTATTTGAAAGGCAAAGTTACAGAGAGGCAGAGGCAGAGAGATGGGGGGAGAGAGAGAGAGAGAAATAGAAAGAGAGAAAGAGAGGTCTTCCATCTGCTGGTTCACTCCCCAGATGGCTACAACTGCCGATGCTGTGCTGATTCGAAGCAAAGAGCCAGGAACTTCTGGGTCTCCCACGTGGGTAGCACAGGGGCCAAGGACTTGGTCATCTTCTACTGCTTTCTCAGGCCATAGCAGAGAGCTGGATCGGAAGAGGAGCAGTTGGTACTAGAACTGGTGCCCATATGGGATGCTGGTGCTGCAGGCAGAGGATTAACCTATTGCGCCACAGCGCTGGCCCCAAGCAATATTCAAGTATACATTATTTTCTAAATTTTATTTTTATGTATTTATTTGACATGCACACACACACACACACACAGATAGTGAGAGAGAGAGAGAGAGAGAGAGAGAGAGAGAGAGAGCCCTCATGCACTGGTTCACTCTTCTAATGCCTACAGTGGCTGGGGATAGGCTGCAGCCAAAGCCAGGAGCCAGGAATGCAATACAGGTCTCCCTTGTGGATAGCAGGAACTAAATTGCATGAGCCAAACCTTTGTCTTCTGAATTAACAGGAAGCTAGAGTCAGGAGCAAAACCAGGAACTGAACGCAGGCACTCCCATGTGGGACGCATGCACCCTAACCAGCATCTTCGACAGCTGCTTCCTATTATCATGTATTGTCACCATGTGATGCAATAGGTCTCCAGAACTTAGTTCTCCAAATGGAAATGTTGTGCCTTTCTGACCAGCACCTCCTGGTCTTCCACCCCTACCTCCCGGCAACCCTGTAAGCACCTTCTGCTGTGTTCCCATGAGATCAGCTTTCTTAGAATCAAACAAGTGAGATCAACGCAGTATTTGTCTTTCTGTGCCTGGCTTATTTCACTTAGCACCGTGTCCCTCAGGTTTATCTCTGCTGTTGCAAATTACAGAATTTCCTCGTTTTTTAAGGCTAACTCCTATTCCATGTCGTATGTATACCGCGTTTCCTGTATTCATTCATCCTCTGATGGACACTTCAGATGAGCCCATATCTTGGGCTGCCGTGAACATGGAACCTGAGATACCTCTTCAGCATACTAAGCTCGCTTCCTTTGGGTATATAACCAGAAGTGGGATTGCTGCAGCATGTGTTGGTTCTATTTTTAGATTTTGAAGAACTTTTATACTATTTCCCATGATGGCTGTACTAGTTTACATTTCCAAGAGTGTGCAAAGGTTCTTTTTCTTCTCATTCTTCTCAATACTTATTATCTTTTTGATAACAGCTCTTCTAATAGATGTGAAGTGATATCTTATAGCAGTTCCAATTTGCATTTTTCTGATGATGAGTTATGTGGAATTTCTTTCCCCATATATCTGTTGTCCATTTGTGTGTCTTCTATTGAAAAATACCTATTAAGGTCCTTTGCACAGTTTTTAATTAGGTTATTTGTTTTCTTGCTGTTGAGTTTTTGAGTTCCTTATATATTTTATATATTAAAATATTTATCAGATGTTTAATTTGGAAGCATTTCCTCTTACTCCATATGTAGCCTTTTTCATTTGTTGATATTTTTCTTTGCTGTGCAAAAGCATTTTAAATTGAAGTAATCTCACTTGTATATCTTTGCTGTTGTTGTCTTTGCTTTTGGGGTTATATCTGAAAAGTTTTTGCCAAGACTAACAAACACCAAAAGCTTTTTCCTTTTGTTTTGTTTTCTAGTGCTTTTTTTTTTTTTTTTTAATTTGACAGGCAGAGTCAGACAGTGAGAGAAAGAGACAGAGAGAAAGGTCTTCCTTCCATTGGTTCACCCCCAAAATGGCCAGAAGCCAGGAGCCAGGTGCTTCCTTCTGGTCTCCCATGTGTGTGCAGGGGCCCAAGCACCTGGGCCATCCTCCAGTGCCTTCCCAGGCCACAGCAGAGAGCTGGACTGGAAGAAGAGCAACCGGAACTAGAAACTGGTACCCATATGGGATGCCGGCGCCACAGGCGGAGGATTAACCAAGTGAGCCATGGCGCTGGCCCCTCTAGTACTCTTAAAGTTTCCAGTCTTATGTCTTTAATCCATTTTGTGATGCTTTTGGTATGCTGAGAGAAATAAGAATCCAATTCCATTCTTCTGCAGGTGGATGTCCAGTTTTCCTAACCTCATTTATTGGAAAGACTGTTCTCTGCCGCTGTGTGTTGTTGGTACCTTACTGGAAGTTCAGTAGACTGTAAGCTGTGCATTCATCTCTGGGTAGTCTTTTCTGTTCCACTGGTCAAGGTGTTTTTGTGTTCTTTTTATTGTTATGTGTTTGTGGTATATTGTATTTTGGAGTCAGATAGTGGTGATGCTTCCACCTTTGTTATTTTAGCTCAGAATTGCTCTAGATATTTCTCTATTAATATAAATTTTAGAATTTTCTATTTTTCTGAAAAATAACTGGAATTTTCATAGATTGCATTAAACCCGTGGATTGCTTTGGGTAGCATGGACAGTTTATCAATGTAAATTCTTCCAGTCCATTAATCTGGGGTATCTTTTCATTTACTTATGTTTCTTTCATAGTGTTTTAGGTTTCACATTTTTGGCTAAATTTATTCCTCAGTATTTTTTCATGTTTTTATAAATGGGGTTGCTTTCCTGATTTCTATACCAGGTAGTTTGTTGTTCCTGGACAGAAACAGTGCTGAATTTTGCATATTAATTTTGTATCCTTCAGTTTTACTGAATTATTTTTTCCAACAATTTTTTTTGTTAGAGTTTACAATGTGAAAATCAATCATGTCATCTGCAAAAAAAAATTAGAGCCAATTTAACTTCTTCCTTCTCAGTTTGGATGCCTTTTATATTTCCTTGGGACTTTCAATAATATGTTGAATAGAAGTGGTGATAGTGGGCATCCTTTTCTCATTCCAGATCTTAGAGGAACATATTTCATTTTTCACAACCACGTATGATGACAGCTGTGGGCTTGTGATATATGGTATTTACTGTAGTTAGATATTTTACTTCTATATCAAGCTTGTTGAGTTTTGCTTTTGTTTGTTTGATTTTTAAAGACTTATTTAAAAGTCAGAGCTACAGAGAGAGAGAGTGAAAGACATAGAGAGAGGTTTTCCATCTGCTGGTTCATTCCTCAAATGGCCACAACGGCCGGGGCTGGGGCAGACCTAAGCCATGGACCAGGAGCTTCTTCTAGGTCTCCCATGTGGGTGCAGGGGCCCAAGGACTTGGGCCATCTTCTACTGCTTCCACGGGCACATTAGCAGGGAACTGGAATGGAAGTGGGGCAGCCAGGACACGAACCAGCACCCATATAGGATGCTGGCATGGCAGTCGGCAGCTTAACCTGCTACACCATGACACCGGCCCTTGGGTTCTGTTTTTTATAGTGAAAGGTATGAATTTTTTAAGATGTTTCTTCTGCAACTGTTGAGATGATGATGACATTTTGGCCCATGTTTTTGTGTAAATTTTGTCGTTCTGTTAATGTGGTGTATTATGTTGACTGATCTTTTGCCTATGTTGAATCATCCCTGCTTCCCACAGGTAGATCCCACTTGTTCTTGCTGAGTAATCCTTTTAATGTGCTGTTGAATTCAGATTGCTGGTCTCTGCTTATCAGAGCTATGGGCCTGGATATTGGAAACTATCTTTGCTTTTTATGTCCTTGTCTGGTTTTGGTGTCAGAATGATGCTGGCTGTTGGAAGAACTCCATACAGTTAGATTTTTACAAGGTGTTTACAGAGGATTGGTATTAATTCCTCATGTAGTTTACTGTATGGATTTATTGCTATGTATTTCAATTGGCAACCATATTGACAACTTATTTATAACTCATATCCTCCTTGTCAGACAACAGAAAGATCAGAGTTAATGGATCCAAAGAACCTATCGAGTTTAAGTCGAATCAGTGGTTTGGAGCGACGGTGAAGGCACACAAGGGGAAGGTGGTGGTGAGTACGACTGTGTCCTGTAGTGCAACTGAGCAGTGCCACGTGTGCCGAAATGTTCTAAAGCCGATTTTCAGAAAAATTCATTCATATAAGAGTAGGTTAGACTTCCATAGATTAGCATATCGGCATTTTAAAAGAAATGGCTTAAAATTAAAGAATTGATTTTTAGTTGTTCAAAGATATAGAAAATAAAGCTTGTTTTCCAGATCAGTTACTTTCAAATATTTCAAAAATCACAAAGAAAGAAAAGTAAAAGGTAATCTACAGAAGTGAAATTGACAGTTTGTGATGTGATGATTTTTAATAGCTCTGTCTAAACTATTGAGGAACCATGTTTTTTTTTTTTTCTCTTCATACTATTTGTTTAACTCTTTACTTAGTGTAAGGTTAATCTTATGAGTATAAAGTAAACTGAAAATAGATATTTGTAAAAAATAAAAATGGGAATAGGAAAGGGAAGAGGAAGAAGGGTAAGAGTGTGGGCAGGAGGGAGAGTAGGGTGAGAAGTATCTCTATGTGCCTGAATCTGTATATAGGAAGTATATGAAATTTGTATACCTTAAATAAAATTTTTAAAAAATAAATGAAACAAAAAGCTAAATCTTAAAGAGGCAAATACTTTATTACGAAAGATAACTTAAAATACTGACTAAAATTTGATCAGAAGGAAAGGACTATTAACTCTAAGGATGCTTTAAAAGTTAAACTACTGTGGTATCATGATCCTTTCAGAAATAAAGGAAATGTTTTCTTCAATAATTAAAAAAAAATGGCTGGGGCATCCCATATCAGAATGCTAGTTCAAGTCCCACCTGCTCCACTTCTGATCCAGCTCCCTGCTAATGTGCCTAGGAAGTCAGTGGAAGATGGCCCACGTGCTTGGGCCCCTGCCACTCACAAGGGAGAGCAGGATGGAATTCGTGATTCCAGGCTTCATCCTAACCCAGCCCCAACAACTGTGGCCATTTGGGGAAAGCATGAGAGATCCCCCTTCCTCTCCTTCTCTCTTTGTCTCCATCTCTCCCTCTGCCACTGTCTTTCAAACAAATTTTAAATATTTAATTTATAAAACCTGTTAAATGCATGATTCTTTGTGTTCATTTAATACCTTCAAGACACTCTCAAATAGGTTTATTGCAGTCTTTAAGTCCTGTGGCTTTATACATAATTAGATCCTCTTGTTCTAAGCAGTGACATGTGTCTAAATGATTGAGAAATAAATGACTAGTCAGTGTTCTGGAAGGTTCTTTTTCTTTCTTTTTTTTTTCCCACTGTTTGGGGACTGTCTTAACCTATTGGCTTTGATTTCCTTAAAATAATAAAGAAATAACTTTGGCTTTTAGGATTTGTTTAAATCTATTTGGAGTATGATTTAATAAGTATCTAAAGGAAATGCCTGGCTTTATTTAGTCTATGTTTAACCCCCCTTTTCAAAAAAATTTTTTGACATAAAACAGGTAATGTATAAAATATAGATAGCTCCCTCTGGTTAGAAACATTTACAGTATATTCCCTGTAGAACTGCATTTACATTAATGCAGTTTTCACATTTGAGAATTAGTAAGAACTTTTCTATCCTGTTGTGGTAAATGACAAGGGAATTAGTATTGAAAAACAAGCCCTATATATTAACTCTTTGGGATTAAAAAGTCTTTTGAGTGAAATATTAATTCTTTCAAATTTTAAAAATTTATAGCATATCATTGTTGCACATTTAATATTTGTAAAAATACTTTAAAAATTGAGAATAAAATAATTGAATTTTGTTCATAATAATAATGGCAAGATTTTGAAATGCTTACATTTTCTAAATTGTACAATGAGAAATAGGATGATATAAAGGATATTACTGTGGTCCTTTCATGACTTTGTGATCAGATCTTATAACATGGCTAAAATAAACATAAGATGCTATCTTTTACCTTCAGGTTTACCATGAATTGAAAGTATTAAATAAAAAATAAAGCAAGAAAGATAGATAAGAGGGGAATTTGTCCAGGTTAAATTCGTTTAAAAAAGTAATACAAATTCAGTGATAAACGAGGCGAATCCACAAAACTGATGTTTACAAATTTGATTGCATCCTTTGATTTGAAAGTCCTCTTTTTATAAAGCAACAATTACACAAAGAAAGGAGCTAGTCCTCAATGTCAGACATCACACTGAATCCTTCATTGTTTGAATTATCATTGGTTTTTATGTAGGTCCAACTTTTTTGAAACAAGAAAAGAAAATATGAGTTCATTGCTTTTAAGGAAGTATTTTCTTTTGCTAGGTTACTTGAATTTAAAATTATATGAGGCTTGTCATTAATTGTATATGTTTAATTTTGTAAATTCTATGGTATAATTATGTCATTGTGGGAGCTAAAATTAAAAAAGAGCAGAAAATGAAAAAAAACACCTGTATCAGTATTGCTATACATACAGTTTTTTTAAAAAATATTTATTTATTTATTTGAAAGTCAGAGTTACACAGAGAGAGTAGAGGCAGAGAGAGAGGGGGGTCTTCCATCCGATGGTTCACTTCCCAATTGGCCACAATGGCTGGAGCTGTGCCGATCCGAATCCCGGAGCCAGGAGTTTCTTCCAGGTCTCCCACGTGAGTGCAGGGGCCCAAGGACCTGGGCCATCTTCTACTGCTTTTCCAGGCCATAGCAGAGAGCTTGATCAGAAGAGGAGCAGCCGGTACTAGAACTGGCGCCCATAAAGGATTTCAAGCACTTCAGGCCCAGGCGTTAACCCACAGCACCACAGCGCCAGCCCCCTATACGTATAGTTTTGTCAAACTTTGTTTTATATCATTATCAATCCAATTTTAAGAATGACATACTATAGTTTTAATGATCTGTGATTATTTTAAAATTTACTGTATATGAATGAAATGGTTATATTTTCATTTGCTTCTTGAATATAGCCCTCATCTATATTCCTGCTGAACTAGGGTCTTTTTACTTGTTGAATTCCTTATTTGTGGAGCATTAAGCCTTTGATTTAATTTGTAAATTAAAAATATGCTATCTCAAAAATTAGAAAAGACAAGGAAGGCAGGGAGGCAGGGAGGCAGGAAAGAAGAGTGAAGGGGTAAGGTGGTATAATTATGTTAGAATTATGTCTGTGAGCTAAAGTGACTCTGTTCTCTTTGTATTAATATCACATTAACATGAGAATTATGTTGTAGTAGTTATCATGCATTTGCTGTGAACCCTGAGGCTCTAATTTATTAATAAATTGCTTAAATAAAAAAAGAAACAAAACAACAACAACAAAAAATCCAGGCTTTGGAAGTTTGATGTATTCTGACTACCAGTAATCATTAGCCTGCAAGAGGCTGATTAGTAAACCTACTAATTTAACATAGTTGTCATGAATTTAGGTATACTATTCAATCATTCAAACCAAACTGCATAATGAGAAAACTGCATCAAAAAAAATGTTACTGTCCTTGCTGTTTCCTAGGCCTGTGCTCCTTTATATCACTGGCGAACTCTCAAGTCGACACCAGAAAAGGATCCAGTTGGCACCTGCTATGTAGCCATTCAGAATTTCAGTGCCTACGCCGAGTACTCTCCTTGCCGGAACAGTAAGTTACTTCTATTCCTCAGAGCTGAACTTTAGCCCTTGTAGACAGCAATGCAGATAAGCGCAGAATGCCACTGGTGCGTAATAGCATCACAGGAAATAAGTGATAAAGATTTTTGACAGCCTTATGGTGAGTCTTCATGTGACAACAGACCAGGCCTCTTCTGCGGAGCTCCTCTGTGTCTTTAGATATCTGTGGTGGGATTGATTGGTTTCTTTAGGCCTGAAGCCGTCAATAGCTACTCAGAATCACTCTGCACTGGAGAATGCTGACCACCTGCTTTACTCAGTGGCAGGCGTGGTGTTAAGGTGGCGTGTCCTGGCTGGGGATATATGTGCACTAAGCTTTCTCTGGCCTCTGTTCTCGAAGGCTGTTGCTTTCCTTGGCAGCTGTGTCATGCAATACCTGCATGGTTGGCTTTTCTGCTTCAGGTGTTTAACTCCCCTCCCCCCAACCCAAAACACTGGAAACCTACAGTCCACATCTCTAGTAGTTCTAGAATCTTCTGGCAAAGCATCCTTTCCAGCAGCCCTGTGAGTGCCATCTTTGGAACATTGCTATATGATTAATTCCCCTGGTGGCAAACCCAAGAACTTTGGGATAACATGATTAATTGATTGATCCATTTACTCTGAATCCTTTTTGTCCACCCTTCCAATTTCCTATGGGTTAGACAGATTACGAGAATCTGTGGACAAGCAATCGATAGGTCTTCATTCTGATTCTTAATAATTCATAAGATCACATTAGGGGGAGACATATCCTTAACAAGACCATCCTAGTGTCTCATTTCAAGATAGTTTTTTTTTTTAAATGCAATCCCAAATCAGTTTCATTCCTAAAACTGTAAGTAAATATTCCCCACTTTGTAAGAATATTTTTAAAATTCAAGATTAACTGAGGTAAGACAATGGGCAAATATGAAGTAAAACAGTGAAAGTTAAGGAGGGATCAGCATATTAGAGGGTTAACAAAGAGGCCACTGAGATAAAGAACTGTAAGTGAAGCATTTTAACTCTGATGGTTTGGGCCGGAAGTTTCTGGCAAGAAGATTATGACTTTCTGTTTAAAAATACTGAAATAAATCAGACATTTCTTCACATTACAACAGTTGTCAGCTGAATGAATTATCTATGAAATAAGGGTTTTATTTTAAACAGCTTTAAACATGGCGGATCTTTGTAGATAATGAGATGATTATTCATTTAACACGTGCCTGTTGAGCACTAATGACTCTGTGTCTAGGAAATTCTGCAAAGAGCACGAGAATACAAGTCCCTGTGCTCAAGGCAGTGACTTCTAGGCGGAAAGACAAACAGATGGATAAAGAAGTCTGTGATACCATGTCAGGGAGTGAAGAGAGCCACAAATAACAATATAGCAAGACAAGAGAAGAGGCAGAAGCCAGGGCCTGGGTCAGGAGCGTAGGGAGTGCTTTTAGACAGGGTGTTAGGCAGGGATTCCTTTAGCAAGTGAGGTAAGGAGGGGAACAGCTTCCTGGGCACGTGAACAGCCAGTAAGAGGCATAGTTTGTATCATGTTCCATTCAAGTGCAGTGCCCCTGGGTTGGGTAAGAGACCAGCATTATATGCTAACGATAAAATTCAGCTAACAGCTAAAATCCAAAAGTTACTCAGAAAACTAATGGATGAGCTGAGATTCACCAGTGAACCTGTTTTCTCAGCATTTGCACTGGTCTATACCACAGTTTTCATGATTTGCTAATGCCGCTCTGCCACAACAGCGAACCATCATGAACACAAAGACAAACCCATCCTTCACCCGCTCTGCCTCCCAGAGTGTCACGTTCTTCCAGCTAGCATCAAGAAAGATCGTTATAAAACCCATCACTGCTTCTTGCTCTGCCTTTTGGCCTGACAGGGGCAGGATGTGAGAGCTCAGATGAAAAGACAGCACATGGAATCTTGACGAGTGGGGCAAAAGTTTCCGTGTGAGTTGGAACCATTGTCTAAACATGTAAATCTTCGGTCTCCCATCTTGAGTTACCTGGGCATATTATGATGGCAAAGAATCTACTGTTTATTCTTCTAAATACAGGAGCAGCTCAGCCCCTGGTAAAAAATAGAGCTCGTATTGAATTGCAGAATAGCTAAGGAAATTGCCAAGAATTCTTCCAGGGCTAGTGCACAGCCACAGCGCTCACATCCTCATGGCCTTCCCGTTCACACTTGGACTTCTTCCGCCTCACATCAGCCAACAGGCAGATTTCCTGTCATGGCTGAGAAGTTCACAGTTCATTAACACAAAGCCAGCTTGTTCATGAGCATATGGCCCATGTCACAGAACAGAGACTTCAGTGATACGACTGTCCAAAGGGAATTTAAAGAAGCTTCATGTTCATTCTGCACCACGAAACCCTTCCACTGATCCTGTGAGTAGGACGGGAGTGCACCTGCTCATTCGTATTAGTGAGGAGCCTGTGGCTCTTCTGGTCATTCATGATTCAGGTGGGGATGGGTCGCACACACCCTTTCCTTTGTCTTCGGGAGCCAGCAGACAGCAGTGTGTGATCAGCATGCTTCCCAGGATTTGAGTTCACTCTGGGACGTGACTGCCAAGTTCACGGACCCTCTGTCGTTCTGGAAAGGAAGTGCTCTTCAGCTCTCGTATATTATGATTCAACAAGAAAAAACTGCTAAGGGGGTGAACCTCACTCTCTGCTATGATTGCTACCAGTATTTGAAGCTGGTTGTGAAGTGAATTGTGTGAAAAATAATATTCTCAGTGAAAAATTTTTATTTACCCTTTTCAGTTTTCTGTTTTAAAGCAAAATTATTTCAAAGAATGGTCATTTTTTTTCCATTTTGAGTAATTGAAAAGATTAAAAACAAAAACCGAGTTGATTTTTGAAAGTTTTTAAAGATATATGCATTTAAAAGTACATGTCTTAAATATCACATAGTAATATTCATATGTTTCTGGATGCATATAAATATTTATACCCATGAACTTCTAGAAAACTCATCCCTAGACATTTGAGGTTATATAGATGAGCTTTTAGGGGGCTTTATAGGATTCATAACCATAAACCACAAAATATAGTTGTAAAAGAAATAACTAATTGTGTTAAAATAGTGTATGAGGTAGAAAAATATTTTAAAAAATAAAGAAAGCATCTGGAAAGAATTGATGACAATGCTAAAATTAGCAAAGTACTGACAAAAGAAAAGAAAAAAAAAACAAAGCCTCACAGAAGACATTCTAGAGAAAGCTGGAAAGGACAGATCCATTTCAGGAGTTTCTGAAACCAGCCATGCTCAGCCTGCAATTGTTCCTTATGATGGTGTATATTTCCTTTCAGTCCTTCTTACTTTAATTTCCATTCAGGAATTTCTTGATAAGGTAGGAGCAATTATTTGCATATTCATATTTAACTGTGAGGGTGATTTAAAACATTTGTGGATGTTTATAGCCCTTATCTATACTCTTGAGCAACAGTGGTTTTTCTCTGTACTACTTGTTGTATTCTTTGTTTAGTGGAGGGTTAAGCTTCTGATTATAAAGAAAACTGAAAATATGTCATTGTAAGAATTAAAAGAAAAATATGAAAAGAAGGGAGGGCAGGATTGAGGGAGGGAGGAGAGAGTAGGGTGGGAAGAATCATTATGCTTTTAAAACAGTATATATGAAACTTGTTCCCTTTTTTATAAATCAAAAATTTAAAAAAATAAGTCTAGGAGGGCTGGTGCCACAACTCAATAGGCTAATCCTCTGCCTGCGGCGCCAGCACACCAGGTTCTAGTCCCAGTCGGGGCACCGGATCCTGTCCCGGTTGCCCCTCTTTCAGTCCAGCTCTCTGCTGTGGCCTGGAGTGCAGTGGAGGATGGCCCAAGTCCTTGGGCTCTGCACCTGCATGGGAGACCAGGAAAAGCACCTGGCTCCTGGCTTTGGATCAGCGCGATGTGCTGGCCACACTGCACTGGCTGCAGCAGCCATTGGAGGGTGAACCAACGGTAAAGGAAGACCTTTTTCTCTGTCTCTCTCTGTCTCACTGTCCACTCTGCCTGTCAAAAAAAGAAAAAAATGGTCTAGGGGTGGATTTGTGGTACAGGCCATTAAGCTGCCCCTTAGGACACCTGCATCCCATAGTAGAGAGCCTGATTAGAGAGAGTCCCTCTTGCTCTGCTTCTGCTCTTGCTCCCTGCTAATGTGCCTGGCAGGCAGCAGCTGAGCCTTGAAGGGCAGAGTTAGAGAGAGAGAGGGAGAGAGAGTAAGAGACAGAAAGAGATCTTCCATCCACTGGTTCACTCCATGAAGCCGTGAGCTTCATTCAGGTCTCCCACATGAGTGTAGGGGCCTAAGGACTTGGGGCATCTTCCACTGCTTTCCCAGGTGCCTTAATAGGGAGCTGGATCAGAAGCAGAACAACCAGGAATTGAACCGACATCCATATGGGATGCCAGCGCTGTAGTTGGTGACTCAACCCATTATGCCACAACAACAGCACCCCAGTCCCGGTTTTTACAGGCACTGGGAGAGTGAACCAGCAGATGGAATATCTTAATCTCCCTCTCTCCCCGACACTCTGACTTTCAAATAGATAAGTAAATCTAAAACAAAATCTTAAATAATTTTGGTTGCAAAAAATCTTGAAATCTATGCTTTAAGGGGTCTCCAAAAAGTTCATGGAAAGTGTATACTCTGAAAAACAATGCATGAGTTCAAAAGCCTTTTGCACTCAAATAAACTTACTAATTTCATTTTTGAAGTCCTCTCATAGGTAATTATTGAAATTCTCTCTACTTAACTATGTTTTAGCTATAATTTAAACAATGGAAATGTGTTTCATATAGCACTTTAGAGGTTGTAGATTTATTTATTTGAGAGGCAGAGTTACAGAGAGAGAGAGGGAGAGACAGAGGGGTCTTCCATTACTGGTTTGTTCCCCAAATGGGTGCGGTAGGCTGGAACTGGGTCAGTATGGAGCAAGGAGCCTCCTCTGGGTCCCCCTTGTGGGTGCAGGGGCCCAAGCACTCGAGCCACCTTAGTAGCTTTCCCAGACCATCAGCAGGGAGCTGGATCCGAGGAGGAGCAGCTGGGCCGTGAACCTGTTTCCTCATGGGATGCTGGCAGTGCAGGCAGAGGTTTAAGCTACTATGCCACAGCGCCAGCCCCCTGTTGAAATTACTTTAAAGGATAAGTTATACGCATTAAAATCATGATTCTAATGCACTGGAGATTTTTGAGAACAATATTCTGTGAATTCACCTGTTGGCCGGCATAGAGTTTACAAAACTGTGCTGTACAATGAGATCTTACTGGACATCCAGCTAGTGAGTTAAATTGAACAAGACAGAAAATAAACCATTTCTAGAGAGTTTTCTCTTTTGTGAACACCAGCATTGCAATCTCAATCCCTTTGAGATTCACTGCAACCAGCAATGCAGTTTCCCAATTTACATAACTTATCATAATGGAATAATTTACAGTTCACTTCCTGTTAAAAAGCACAGAAATGGAAATCCTGGTTGGCACCCAGCAGAAAGCATCGCACAGGCAGTCTTGTTTAGCTCCCCTTCTCCAGGGCATGGAATGTTAGGAATGGGAATTTGCCTGCTTTCTCTTGGACTGAGTAGGGGGAGCATGGCAGCCACTGCCATGTGGGGATGTGGAACAATGAAAGGTTTTATTTCTTCATGAACATGAGTTGTAAAACTAAATATAAAAAGCCAGAGACACGTGGTCCTGTTGATTTTACCATAGAATCACAGTGATATTTGTGATTAGGAAATAGAAAGATGTTTAATAGAGTTCTTAGAATGAATTTTTTAAAAATATATAAAATATATTGATGTTTTAATATATAAATCTATAGAGATAACGGAATACCTTGACTTGGTCATTAAAATATATCTTGGGAATGATGACATCATAACATTTATGTATTTTGATCAACCCAGGCAACGCTGATCCTGAAGGCCAGGGTTACTGCCAAGCAGGATTTAGTCTGGATTTTTATAAGGTAAATTATTTTAGTCTTGTAGCTTCTAAAATGTAATGTTTGATTCTTTTTACAATCCTATGCCTCTCATTCCCACACCCCCAAACAACAACCAAAGAACTTTTAGACACATATTCATCATATCTGACAACTTTACATCTTTTTGTTTGCTCTTAATTTCTTTTCTTTCCAAGTTACCTATGTGCATGACAACCTTATCAGTCCAGAAATACACGCGATGAAAAGCAACAGTCTTTCTTTCTACCCTTTGTAGCAACCATTCTCACATGAAAATCGCCAAAACACAGTAAAAAAAAAAAAAGCCCATGGGCTGGCGCTGTGACATAGTTGGTAAAGCCACCACCTGCAGTGCCAGCATCCCATATGGGTGCTGGTTCAAGCCCCTGCTGCTCCACTTCCGATCCAGCTCTCTGCTATGGCCTGGGTAGGCAGTGGAAGATGGCATAAGTCCTTGGGCCCCTGCACCCATGTGGGAGACCTGGAAGAAGCTCCTGGCTCCTGGATTCGGATTGGCACAGCTCCAGCCATAATGGTCAATTGGGGAGTGAACCGGCTCTCTCTCTCTCTCTCTAACTCTTTCAAATAAATAAATATTTTTTTAAAGTCTGTTTCTAAAAAATCACAAGAACCTACAAATTGTTTGCTCTCTTGACTTAATGCACCAATGAGATTTAATATTTGGATTAAAATTCGGATATCCTCTTATAAAATTAAAAACAGAGATGTCCAGTATGTGTATAATGGACCAAGACTCCATGGTTTTGAAAACAGTATAGAAAAATTTCATAGACATCTGAACTGTTTTATTGTCTATCGTGGCATTTTTTTAATCATGGCTGTTTTGTTTGTTGCCTCTGCATGTTCATGATGTAGAGTACAGATGGTGGGGTTGTAAGTAGATGGGGAAAGTTTTCTATTTTCTAGTCTGGAGTTTTCATTCTTCCTTCTGAGAATGAGGGCAACTTGCAGATGTCTGAAAAAAGAGCTATTACTATGGCCTTGAAAGAAATTAAAACAGAATTTTTCTTTTTATCACCAAGGTTCAAAAAACCAGATCTGCCACATGGCACCATATTAAACATGTAGCTATTTCGTTTACCAGAGGTAGTGCCAAAAAACTGAATTTATATATTCTCAAAGGAGAGAGTTCTACTTAATTGAGTTAATTTAAAATTACTTGATACACTAAATAATTGAAAGTTAAGAATAGGAAAGAAAATGACCTGCAGGCCTCATATATAAGGGCCTCTTTGAAGAATCTCTTTTTTATGTGTAACAAATTGTTAGAGCAGTGCTTATTATTAACCATGATCTATCATCCTTTACAAAATGTCAACATTTCTTTTCAATTGTTACTGGTATTCTTTCTGTTTTGCAGAATGGAGACCTCATAGTAGGAGGACCTGGAAGTTTCTACTGGCAAGGTATGTTCTATTGGCAGGAGATGAAGCAGAAATAAATCGAGATGTTCACTTTTTATTCTGTGAATGGTATAGCCCCATTCATAGTTTCTGGGATAGAGCATCCTTTCAATTTGTAGCTTGTTATATGAATGGTATTTGAAAATCCTCTTGCAACTGAAGTCATTTCTCCACCAACAACTTATTGAGGCTGTACCAGTCCTTGTACCAGATGCCACAGATACAGTAGTGAATCAAAATTGGGTTCCTATCTGGGTAGAGATATAGGCAGTGACGGAATATTCACCTGAGAACCTGAGAAATGCCAAGCAGGATGCACACTCCCACGGAAGGGAATGTCGTGATGGTGCCATGAGACCCTGGGGGTCCTCTCCACAGTGGCAGTGCACAGGTGTGCTGGAATACCACCTGTGCCTTGCCATGAACATAGGTGCAGGACAGCCCCTGCACAGAGAGGATGGCTTCTTCTAAGGCTTACGATGGCATGGCTTAGGCCAGCAGCAGCCCAGGAGTGCAGAGCCAGTGGGATGAAGGGAAGTCAGGGTGACCAGAGTTAAGAGAACCTGGGAACAGCTGGAACAGTGGTATGGAGTGGCCTTACCTGTCACACAGGGCTTTCAGGCCAGGGTAGACAGTTTTGTCTTTATTCCGCAAACAGTGGGAAACCGCTATGGATTTCTCAGGATTTAAATGGATGCTGTTAGCTAGAGTAAGAAGGAGTTATCTGTCCTAAGGGTAATGGGAAACCATTAGGAAAATGTAGCCATGGATGCTATGATCAAACGCTGGGGGCCAGCATTGTGGCACAGATGGTTAAGCCACAGTCTGCTTGCTGGCGTCCCGTATCAGATCGCCAGTGCATGTCTCAGCTGCTCTGCTTCTGATCCAGTGCCCTCCTAATGCACCTGGGAAGGCAGCACAGGATAGCCAGGGTGCTCAGGCCTTTGCCACCCGCATGAGAGACTTGGATGGAGTTCCTGACTCCTGGCTTCAACCTGGCTCAACCCTGGTCGTTGTAGCCATTTGTGAAGGGAATCAGCAGGTGGAGAATTCTCTCTCCACACCACTGCTTCAAGTAAATAAATAAATCTTAAAAAAAAAAAAAAAAAGAGACCGCTCCGGCTGCAAATGGAAAATGGATTGGAAATCGGCCAAAGTGAAATATCAAAAAGCTAGTTATGAGATTGTAAACTAAATAAGGCCAAGGAGCTGTAAGGCTCAGGCAACAATGTTTCCTTCATAGGGTGGTGATGGCACATATTTTAAAAGAGGAGAAATCTGAGACACTCTTTAGAGGCAAAATAAGCAGCCTAAGTGGTGGACTGACTACTTGGGCAGGCGGAAGGGGAAGGTGTCAAGGCTGTGTTTCTGACTTTTGCCCCCGAATGGATGTAACTGGGTTGCACTGAGATAGAGGACACTGGGTTTGGGGTGCGCTGGTTAGAGATGGTGAGCTGCCTTTTGATTATGTTGGGTATGGAAATGTTTGAGCTATCCAATAGCTCCAGCGTAAATATTTAGATGTATTGGCCTGTGCTCAGAGAAGATACCCAGGTTGAAATACAAATTCACATCACATGCGTATTGGTGATAAATGAAGCCCTGGGTATGGATGGTACCTATACAGAGAAGACAGATTGCATGTTGGCTGTTAGGTTTAGGATAGTGGTAGAAGAAAATCTGACACCTATGAATAATTGAGGGAGACTTTTTTTTCCAATGGAATAGACTTGATTGGGTTTAGAAGTCATTAGGAAAGGCCAAAAGAGATGGATTCCTGATAAAATTTTATATGAATTTACTGTTAAGCTTAATTCATGTGTAAACAATTATCAACATCAAATACTTAACATTTTATATCTAAAATTACATTGCAAAGTGAAAATATATTGCATACAACAGATGATATAAAATTTAAAAAATGTTTTAAAATGTGTCCTTTAATTCATTTGGCTAATTTAATGTATTTCATTCCTTTCTTTATATTGTAAAAAAAAATTCCTATACAAATGATTTGCTGAAAATGATCCATGCCAAGGGCATGTAGAAGCACTTGACTGAGATGTAGTTGTATACTTTAAAAGTCCATCCCAACTTAAGATTGTAATGTCAGGGGCCAGCGCTGTGGCATAGGGGTAAAGCTGCTGCTTGTCATGCTGGCATCCCATATGGGCACCTGTTCAAGTCCTGGCTGCTCCACTTCCGATCCAGCTCTCTGCTATGGCCTGGGAAAGCAGTAGAAGATGGCCCAAGTCCTTGGGCCCCTGAACCCACATGAGAGATGTGGAAGAAGCTCCTGTCTCCTGATCAGCACAGCTCTGGCCATTGTGGCCATCTGGGGAGTGGGCCAGCAGATGGAAGACCCCTGTCTCTCTCTCTCTCTCTCTTTCTCTCTCTGCAACTCTGCCTTTCAAATAAAATATAATAAATATTTTTAAAAAGATTGTAATGTTTATAGATAAAATTGAAGGAGACAACCAAAGGCTCTGGGTGTGTATGTGTGTGTGTGTGTGTGGTGTGTATGGGGTATTTATCTTTAATCCAGAGAAAATTAGCCAATTCTGCTGACATTATTCATGGACTCCTATGTAAACACCATTGTCTTAGTATTGAAACAATTATTTCAGTCTCAATCACTTGAAAATATTTATGACCTGGTTGGACAGTTTTACTCCTTTTTGGACTTTAAACAGACTATGGGAATTATGTGAATTCCCAAAGAATAATTTGTCTTTAAAATTAACATTAAATGTTTAAACAGTTTTCTCTCCGAGTATGAGATCATGCTGTTGCCTCAGATGCCCTTTATAAATATGGGAATGCATAGAAATTGCAGCAGAAAATTGCTGGCTGCCTTTTAGAGACTTATCACCCTGATAAAATCATATTCTGAGATTTCTGAGATAAGCCAAAGTGCTTACATCAGTGTTGTGGCAATGGTTCTTTCTGCTGAAATTGCGGATCTCAGTGGACCTGGCTGCCTCCCATTATAACAGTTTTATGTTTTTCTTCAATATATTTTAGTAGCACAAGTAAGTGGCTCAAAGACTATGGAATACCTTTGTTTAATTTAGCTGATATATTTATAGTCTATTACTTGGATAAGTGATTTAGATTTAATATAGCATCCATACTTTTCTTTCTTTTTTAAAGATTTATTTATTTGAAAGGAAGAGCCATAGAAAGGCAGAGGCAGAGGCAGAGGCAGAGGCAGAGGCAGAGGCAGAGGCAGAGAGAAATGGATCCTCCATTAACTGGTTCACTCCCCAAATAGCTGCAATGGCCGGAGCTGGGCTGATCCGAAACCAGGAGCCAAGAGCTTCTTCCGGGTCTCCCACATGGGTGCAGGGGCCCAAGGACCTGGGCCATCTCCACAGCTTTCCCAGGTGCACCAGCAGAAAGCTGGATTGGAAGCAGAGCAGCCAGGACTTGAACCAGTCTGCATATGGGATGCCTGCACTGCAGGTGGTGGCTTTACCCACCATGCCCCAGCCCCACCCCCAAGATTTAATGTGGCATCCATACTTTTCTTTTTTTTTCTTTCTTTCTTTTTTTTTTTTTTTTTTTTGACAGGCAGAGTGGACAGTGAGAGAGAGAGACAGAGAGAAGGGTCTTCCTTTGCTGTTGGTTCACCCTCCAATGGCCGCCGCGGCCGGTGCACCGCGCTGATCCGATGGCAGGAGCCAGGAGCCAGGTGCTTTTCCTGGTCTCCCCTGGGGTGCAGGGCCCAAGCACCTGGGCCATCCTCCACTGCACTCCCTGGCCACGGCAGAGAGCTGGCCTGGAAGAGGGGCAACCGGGACAGAATCCGGCGCCCCAACCGGGACTAGAACCCGGTGTGCCGGCGCCGCGAGGCGGAGGATTAGCCTAGTGAGCCGCGGCACCGGCCATGCATCCATACTTTTCAAAAACACAGTTTTGTAGGAATGCCAAGGTGACCTTGCTTGTCACACCAGCTGCCCAACAAGCAAAACCAGGTGACCTTAGAGAACACATTCGAGCTCTGGCCTTCAGCTTCCCCACCTACAAGATGCCATGTTTGGCTAGATGGTCTTAAAATTTCCTTCTACCTAGAAGATTCTAGATTTTCTTGTAAAATCACATAAATTTTGTCTATGTCTCCACTCTTAGATTCCTTTATCAGTTGGAGAAGATAGAACTAGGCATGCTTAGTGCAGCAGGAACATAGATAAAATACTCTTATTAATCTGCGGTCTCCTACCCAGCTGTAACCAACCCTCGCAGGCAGTTCTTGTGGCAGGCAGGAAAATCCACCATCATACATGCAAGCAAGTCCATGAAAGCTTTCAAGGGACTGTGTGTCTTTCTGCTTTTGCGGGGGCTGGGGGAGGGGGGAGTGCTGCCTCTTGAATTCATTCAGTTAATGAATTAATCCGTTTAAACACAGGTCAGGTGATCACTGCCAGTATTGCAGATATCATTGCAAATTACTCATTCAAGGATATTCTACGGAAACTGGCTGGAGAAAAGCAGACAGAAGTGGCTCCAGCTTCCTACGATGATAGTTACCTTGGTAAGCGCCACTGCTCAAGATATTCATGGTTTCTCAAAAGACAAGCATGTTAAGTGTAGATGCAAATGTTGTTCCTGACTAGTGTGATGTTATTTGGCATCTTATAAAAATGTTCTGTTCGTATTAGAGTGGTCTCTTCATCTGAAGTAGGACTGGTTTTTCAGCCTTGATGCATAACCTACATAATTAGAGCAGCTATTTCATAGGTGCCCCAAGTCTCCCCCACATAAAATATTTTGCTGGTGTAGACCCTATGTATTAGCGAGGTTGCTACCAGTGCTACAGGAGCAACATATGGGCAGCCCTTTGCAGTTTCTAGGGCTGCAGCCAAAGACTTTCAATTTCTAGAATATCCTGAAAATGCACCGTGTGCAAACACACGACCTCATTTCATCAATAGTCTTTCCCACCGTTAGTATCACGGTGGCATTTTGATTGCTTGGTGAATTTGAAAAAAAAAAAAAAAAAGTAGTGGTTGTGTTTTGTGTGTTTTGTGATTGTAGCTGAGACCTCACGTTCAGAGCTAAGTGAAACTTGTGGAAAACGATCATGAAAGGAGTTGGAAGATCTTGCTGGTGATCAGAAAAAGCAAGTCCTGAGCACCAAGCGTGTCTTTCAGAGGATCCCACCTGATCATGATGAAGAGCAGGCAACTCTTAGAATGTCAGGCCCTGTCACTGCACTGAGCAGATGGATTATGAAGACTTCATGCTTGAAAATGGACCTCAGACTATGATTTTATTTCCATGCTCCTACATTGATCGTAACAGATCAATCATGCTTCCAGGGTTTAGCATGAAAGTTTTGAAATTGTTGGGATTAATTTTCTTCTTGAAAGAATCCTTAAGTTTTATTTTATAATGTTTGTAGAGACTTCTAGACAAAGAAATTCTATGGTAATTCTTTCATTTTCTTCTAGATAGAGCTCATTTGTTAAGTCATCAAGTGTGACCCATCCGCTCCTTTTTTTCAAACAGGATACTCAGTTGCTGCTGGGGAATTCACTGGAGACTCTCAGCAAGGTGAGAGGAATCATTGATCTTATGTCACTTACAAAGCAGGAAGGAAAGTTAAAAGGACATTAACAAAGTCCTTTTCTAAATGTGCTTTTCTTTGCTATACAGAATGCAAATAAATGTGATGCCAGAATGTATAGGTTCATACTTTGTAGAAAAATTACACTTGGTACAAATTTTAAATGCGAAGAGTTTCACTAAAAACTAATCTTTATAAAATCTATTTACGGGGCCGGTGCTGTGGCACAGAGGGTTAAGCCCCATTTGCAGTGCTGGTATCCCGAATGGGCACCAGTTCGAGTCCCAGCTGCCCCACTTCCAATCCAGCTCCCTGCTAACGGACTGGGAAAAGCAGCAGCAGATGGCTTAAGTGCTTACCACGCCCTCCCCACCTCTGCACCCACATGGGAGACTCAGATTAAATTCCTGGCTTTGGCCTGGCCCACCCCCAGCTGTTGTGGCCATCTGGAGAGTGAACCAGGGGATGAAAGGTACCTTTTTATGAATCTCCCTCTCTATATATAATTCTTTCAAATAGGTAAATAAATAAATCTTTAAAAAAATCTATTTAAAACAATTTAAAAAATTAGGGTAGCAGTCCAATGTCATGAGTGAAAATATAGAGATGATTAAATGACTTCAGCAAAAGCCATGCTACTGGTGACAGATGAAATTTGGTAAATCGAGATTTATTTTCTTTCTTTAATTTCATACCGAACAGATCTAAAACTATATTCTCTCCAATCCCAATGCAATTTTCAACTTTGTTTTTTTTCTCCCTGTAAACATGCTCAAACCCCAAATAATAGATTAATCCCTATTCTCAGATATGCCCCTGCTCTTTTGTCTTCTGTACTTTGTCTGTCGTCTCTGTTTTCAATCCTCCGATTCTGTGTCCATCCTCATCTTCAGAGATCAAATGCTTCTTTCCCCTTTGGAGGCCAATTTCAAATGTCATCTTCTCCAGAACCCCTTCTTCAGTGTCTTTTTGTGAACTCCTGTGTCATCTCATGTTTCCTCTTTCCTGAGGCCTTTACCAATTCCTCACCTGGCAAACTGTTGTGTGCCAAGCTCTGTCAGGTGGGGAGCGTGCAGGGTAACCAATGGTCCTTAATATCAGAGTTTACAGTCTACCAGGGCTGACAGACCTTAAGCAACGCACCAAAATGTCTAAGTAAAATTTGGGGGGGGGGGCAGATGTTTGGCACAGTGGTTATGACATCCCTCCAGATACCCACATCTCATAGAAGAGTGCCTGGCTTTGAGTCCTGGTTCCCTTCTAAATTGGGGGTTCCTGCTAATGCAATCCCAGGAGGCAACGCCAAGGAGTAGATGTAATCAAGTTATGCTTGTGATAAAAAGAGAGAAAGAAGAAGGGAGGGAAGGGAAGGAAAAGGAGCCAGGAGTCACACTGGCTTCTCAAGTCAGTTGTGTTGGGATGAGAGTGGGGAAGAGTGGTGTCGTGTGTAGTCCTTTTGGGTTCATGTCCGGCTCCTGGAAGGCGAGATCTACGCATCGTTCGTATTTATCTCTCGCACAAAGGTAGATGGCATTTTACTCATAATAGACTGATAGAAGGCATCTCGATAGAAATAGTTGAATCTGTAGGCTCACCATCTTCCCCACAGGCTCAGGTTTTGGCCTCACTGGCTCCATTCCTCAGGATATGGCAATCTCTCTGATTCACACTTTCTTATCCTTGACTAACATGAACACTGCCTGACTCACAATATTGTCCTAATCACTGAAATGATCATGAAATGCTTATCATATAAGCAGTAACTTTTACTTTATAGTGATATTTATCAGATGAGTTGGATTACATCATCCATCAAGAGTTGCCATTTTCTGACTTCTTTCATATCAACATTAACTGCTTTTCACTAATATAAGTGTTTTAACTAATTCACAAATAATTAAGAATAGATGAAATATTGCATTACTGGGAATCATTATAGGTCTTTTAATGGTTTCATGTTGACAAAATATGCAAAGTAGAAATTTATAAAGAATTTTTTTGCAGTTCATTAGAGGTTGAAAATAATCAGGATTTATTTCTTTAAAAGAACTTTTTCTTTTAAATACGAGCCAATTATTTTAATTGTGGGAGGGGAAAGGGAAATAGAGAAACACTTCTATCTGCTGGTTCATTTCTCAAGTGCCCATGATGGCTAGGGCTGGGGTTGGCCAAAGCCAGGAGCCAGGATCTGCGTCTCTCTTGTGAGTGGCAGGAAATTGACACTTGAGCCACCGCCACTGCCTCCCAGAGTCTGTGTTAGCAGGCAGCTGGAGTTTGGAGCTGGAACTGTACATCAAACCCAGGCACTCCACCCGTATGAGAACAGTCAGCTTAACTGTGGTCTTAGCCACTAGGCTAAATGCCCGTACCAAGCTAATTCTTTAAGGACCTCTTTTTCCATAACCTTTTCTTTGAGCAGTGTATTGTAGTGCTTAAGGAGCCTAGACTTCAGGGGCCAGCATTGTGGCATAGTCAGTTGGGCCCCCGCCTGCAATGCCAGCGTCCCATACGGGCACCAGTTTGAGTCTCAGCTGCTCTACTTCTGATACAGCTCCATTCCAGCGTGCCTTGGAAATCAGCAGAGGGTGGCCCAAGTGCTTGGGTCCTTGCCACCCATGTGGAAGACCTAGATGAAGCTCCCGGCTCCTGGTTCTGGCCTGGCCCAACCCCACCCCAGCCATTTTGGCAATTTGGGGAGTGAACCAGCAGATGGAAGATTTCCTTTTCTCTGTCTCTCCCTATCTCTCTGTAGGTCTGCCTTCCAGATAAATAAACAAATCTTAAAAAAAAAAATAGAGCATAGATTTCAGAGCCTCTTGGGTTTAAATCCTGATTAAATCAATTTTAGAGGATTTTATTTGAGAGATAGAATTACAGACAGAGAGAGGGAGAGGCAGAGAGAAAGGTCTTTCATCTTCTGGTTCATTCTCCAAATGGCTGCAATGGTTGGAGTTGGGCTGATCCAAAGCTAGGAGCCAGGGGCTTCTTTTGGGTCTCCCATGCAGGTGCAGTGGCTCAAGTACTTGTGCCATCTTCTACTGCTTTCCCAGGCCACAGCAGAGAGCTGGATAACAAAAGGAGCAGCCAGGACACAAACTGGTGCCCCAATGGGATGCTGACACTGCAGGCAGAGGCTTAGCCTACAACGCCACAGCACAGGCCCACCCTGATTAAATCTTGATGCCAGTATCTACTAGCTTTGTGAGCCTGGAAAAATTAGCCAACATCTGCATTTCCTTATTCTTCATCTACCTCACAGGTAGACCTTATAGTCTCATCTGCCTCATAGAATGCTTGTGAGGGTTAAATGAGTTGATTCTCTGTATTCAGAAAACAGTGCAGTACCTAATAAGCAGTAGGTACTGTTAGCTGTAAGAAGAAACAACCATTGAGTTAGGAGCCATCAGAGAGAGAATTGAATAGCAGGTACCTTTTTAAAAATATCAAATCTTACACTCACTCACTTAGAAAATAGTGATTTTCCATGGGATATCAGAAATATCTAGAAAGTAGCTCCACATTTTAAGTGACCTGAGAATATCTAAAGTAAGGACGTTGTCAAAAAAGACCCTCATGATTAATTCATTAGATCACTAAAACCTCCAGTGCTGTGCTTCTCCTGCTTGCTTAGACAAGAGGGAGAGAGAATTCTCTGACAAAGAGCAAGCAGCTTAGAAACCTCCACTGAGGAATCATTACTGTGCCATCATTGCACTGCTAAGTGGTACACTGATGGGCTTCACTGGATTTGAAGCCTTAGTTCCATAACTGTCTTCCAATTTTCCATGTGTTCCTGACTCATAAAACGTCGAAAGCCTGTGTTCTCGTGTTTGAGTCGGCGGCGGTGAGCTCCGTTCCCGGGACGTGAGCAGGCCCTACCCTGCTGCAGGAGCATGACGGGGCCCGTTGGGAAGAACATGGGCTCTTCTGCCAGTTCTCAGCTTCTCCCACCCAACAACTCTGAGCTGGACTGTGACGACACTGTCTAACCTTCAGTTTCCACATATGTCAAAATCAGACATTAGCGCTGGGGCTGGCATTGTGGCACAGCAGGTTAAGCCACTGACTCTGGTGTCCCATATGAGAGCTCCCTGCTAATGCACAGGGGAGAGCAGTGGGAGACGGCTCAAGTACCTGGGCCTCTGCCACCCACAGGGGAGACCTGGAGGGAGCTCCCAGCTCCTGGCTTCAGCCTGGCCTTATAATTCTGCCTTTCTTTTTTTTTTTTTTTTTTTTTTTTTACAGGCAGAGTGGAGAGTGAGAGAGAGGTCTTCCTTTTTTTGCCATTGGTTCACCCTCCAATGGCCGCCGCGGCCGGCACCGCACCGATCCAAAGCCAGGAGCCAGATGCTTCTCCTAGTCTCCCATGGGGTGCAGGGCCCAAGGACCTGGGCCATCCTCCACTGCACTCCCGGGCCATAGCAGAGAGCTTGCCTGGAAGAGGGGCAACCGGGATAGAATCCGGCGCCCCGACCAGGACTAGAACCCAGTGTGTTGGCGCCGCAAGGCAGAGGATTAGCCTACTGAGCCACGGCGCCGGCCACTCTGCCTTTCAAATAAATAAAATACATCTTTACAAAAATATACCAATGCCTTTGTACAGGTTAAAGGAAGGAAATGCTAAAAAGCACATAGTATATTGGTAGTGGATGGAATACGTTCAGTAATTCAGCCTTCTTTCTGCTTCTTGCTAATGGGGTTGATGTCCAAGTTATATATTTCCAGGTCAGAATCTAAATTTTTCCTGACTGTATTGTTGATATTAAGAAACCATGAGTTATTGGAATAGACTTAAGAAAACTCTTTTTTTTTCTTCCAAGTGAAAACTTTTATGGTTGAGTGATAGTTCTAACTTGCCCTGGACCCCAAGCAATTAAACTGTCCTGATCATTTACAAAAGACTATGAACATCATTAATCAACATTACATTTAATAACTTCTTAGTGTTGTGGTCACCTGAGGTTGCAGACTACAAAGTTACCATGTGATGTCTAAATGTCTGTGGGATGCAAGAAGTAGTGGTTGCCATGCATTTCAAATGGCAATAATCCCCCTGGATCTGTCCTAGCCAACAGGCCTGACCCTGAAATCAGGCAACTCCATTATATCTGATTGTGGTTTCCATTCTGCGTCAGAAGATTTTAATTCAAACTCAGAGAAAAGCGTATTGAAAACTGGGCAGTGGACTACCACTCTGGCTGCTTCCCTGGCAAGCTAGCCAGATGGCTAATTTGTTCTGAACCTGGTTTTACTTATTTATTAAGATTTGTTAATTTATTTTAAAAGCAGAATTATAGAAAGAGAGGGAGAGACACAGAGAGAGATCATCCATCTGCTGGTTCACTTCCCCAATGGCTGTACCTCCCCAGATGGCTGGAACTGGGCTGATCTGAAGCCAGAAGCCAGGAAATTCATCTGGGTCTCCACACAGATGCAGGGGCCCAAGCACTTGGGCCATCCTCTGCTGCTTTTCCCAGGCATGTTAGCAGGGAGCTGGATGGGAAGTGGAGCAGCTGGCATTTGAACCAGCACCCATACGGGATGCTGACACCACAGGTGGTGGCACAACCCACTACACCACAGCACTCTTCAGTTCTTGCTTCCCCGTCTCATATCGTTGATTTTTCCCTCTCTCCTTCATCCTTCCCATCACTGTAGAAGCAAGTATTGTTTCTCCCTTTTTAAAAGGAATCTCTTCTTCCGCTTCTCCCTCCAGCACTTTTCTCTGCCTGTGTACTCCGTGGACCATTCCTTGGCTCCCTTCCCTGGAGCCCACTGCTGTTGGACTGTGCCTTGCCTCTCCAAACCTCTCTGGCCAAGCGCACCAGTGGCCTTCACGTAGCTCATTTTCCTTTACAATTAGGAGCCTTGATTCTTCACTTGACCCCAGCAGCTTTCTTTTCTTAAAACAAACAAACAAACTTACTGGGCATGCGAGATAGCCTATCCCAGTTCGTTTTCCAAATGTCCTCCATTGCTCATTTGGCCCCAGGATATCCAGGTCTCCCACCTGGGTGGCAAGGACCCAACTGCTGGAACCCTCACTGCTCCCTCCAGGGTCTGTGTGAACGGGAACTGGGGACCAGGAGCTGCATGGAGCATTGAATCCCTGTCCCCCAGTGCAGGGCACAGGCATCGTGTCTGCCGCCTAAGTGGCCACCTCATGGAAGATCTTTCATTCCCTTGCCCTCACTGGTGTGTCCCTTGCTAAATGCCTGGCCTGTTTGTTTACTGTTGAAGTTCCCTCCTGGTAATCTCATTCAGTTTTGTATATTTCTTTAGCTTAGACTAAATTCCAAGTCCATGTATTCAGCTTTCTACTTAACCCCTGCACTTGAATAGCTCTCTCAAATTTAATGTATTTCTAACTGAATGTCTGCTCTTCCCACCAAAATAGGAGGGCTTTGCAGAAAGTGCAGGGAAAATCTGTGCACAAATAAAACAGTACATGGATTTCAAAAAGTGTTTGCCCTAAAATGAATGTCCTTTCACCCCATTTGCCGTGAACTTGAGGTGTCCTCATGTGCTCTTCCCTCTCTCATCACCAGGGCAGTATAAATGGCAAGGCCGTGTTCCAAGTTGCTCAAGCCAAAAACCTGGGAAGTCAGTTTGGGACTGTGCTTTCTCTCAAACAGCGTATCCACGCCAACAGCAATTCTGCTAACTAAACTTGCAACATCCAACCAGAATCTGACCACTTCTCCCCTTCATCCCAGCGTCTGATCCAAGCTCCATCATCTCTCACCTACAACTACTGTAACAGCTTCCGTGCTGGTCTCCAAGCTCTCACCCTGCCCTCTCACAGTCTGTCATAAATTCAGCAGCCAAAATATTCTTTTAGACACAGAAGTCAAATCATGTAACTTCTTTGCTCTCAGTGATTTGCCAACCCACCAGCCTATAGTCCAAGTGTTTACAGTGACCTAAAAGGCCCTAATTATTTGGCCTCTGCTTGATCTGACCTCATCTCCTGCTACTTTACCCTGATGCCCTCTACCCAAACCACCCTCAATATTCCTTGAATACTGCAGATATATTACTACCTCAGGGCCTTTGCACATGCTGTTCCCTGTAGCCAGGAAGTACAGCTTCCAGATACCCACAGTATGTACTGCCTTCTTTCTTGGTCTTTCCTCCAGTGTTATCTCTCCCTAAGGTTGTCCCTGGCTGCCGCCTCAGTAAATTACAGTTCCCTCCTCAGCACTCCCTAGAAGTAGTTTACTGCTTCGCTTTTTTCACTACACTTAAGCTCTTCTATATTGCCATTTAATTGACTCTTTGTTTTTTCATTATTAACTGCTCCTCTCCACCGGATGATGCTCCGTGAGAATGGAGACTTTTGTCTGTTATGTTCATTGTCGTATCCGCCGGTCATCTATAACTATTCCCTACTGAAACATCCGGCCTCTGGCCCGAAGTGACTCCCCGTGGTTGTGAACGCTGACAGCAAACACCCAGCTCTGCTGGAGCACAGCCGATACACTTCATGCTAGAGTTTGTGCGGTCCCTAGAGCAGCGCTATTGGAGGGCATTTGAATGGAAATCTCTTCAGCCTCTTCTGGCCTTTGTACTAAATTTTAAACCCTAACAAATGAAAAGATTCAGATTTAGGGTCTGGTGCCGTGGCATAGTAGGGTATGTCTCTGTCTCTGCCTGTGGTGCCGGCATCTCATATGGGTGTTGGTTCGAGTCCCAGCTGCTCCTCTTCCAGTTCAGTTCCCTGCTGATGGCCTGGGAAAGCAGAAGATGGCCCAAGTGCTTTGACCTCTGCACCTATATGGGAGACTTGGAAGAAGCTTCTGGCTCCTTTGGATCAGCCCAGCTCCTGCTGTTGGACCATTTAGGGAGTGACCCAGCAGATGGAAGACCTCTCTGTCTGTCTCTCTTTCTGTCTTTAACTCTGCCTCTCAAGTAAATAAATACATCTTTAAAAATGTAGATGTAGAGAAATGAGAGCTTCAATGACTTTATTAATCAGCTCTCAATCCCCACATTACAGGTGATTGGGGAAAACTGGATTCAAGAACTCAGCTCAGGGAGACGGCAGACTAGGACCAGAACCACCGGTTTTCTGACCCTGGAGCTGGGCCCCTGACTGTTGGGCTACGTCCCCGTCCCCCAGACTTGTCTGCTCCTTTCCCTGGGCACTCTTGGCTGCCAGGCTGCCCCTAGAGCTTCTGCTGGCAAACAGTTCTGGGAGCCCAGCCTCTTGTAACTTCTGACGCACCAAGTCATTTGTAACGTTATGTGACAGGAGCGGTACTTTTTATACTAGTACAAAAGATGTTACCAGAAGATCCCCATCTGCCTCTCTCTGTCTCTCTCTCTCCCTTTCAGATAAATAAACAAAAAATGTTTTTTGACAGGCAGAGTTAGACAGTGAGAGAGACAGAGAGAAAGGTCTTCCTTCCGTTGGTTCACCCCCTAAATGGCCGCTACGGCCGGCGCGCTGCGCTGATCTGAAGTCAGGAGCCAGGTGCTTCTCCTGGTCTCCCATGGGGTGCAGGGCGCAAGCACTTGGGCCATCCTCCACTGCACTCCCTGGCCACAGCAGAGAGCTGGACAGGAAGAGGGGCAACCGGGATAGAATCCAGTGCCCCGACCGGGACTAGAACCCGGGATGCCGGCGCCGCAGGCAGAGGATTAGCCTAGTGAGCCGCGGCACCGGCCAATAAACAAAAATTTTTAAAGATGTCACCCTGGTGAAAGCTATACATATCAGAGTAAGATTTAATACACAAATCTCATGCAGACCTGAGAAGCCAGACTGACGTTCTGGAGAGAGAAAGGCGTGCGTACTGGGAGGGAAGACTGGTAAACCTCAGCATACAACTTTTGTTCTTCAGTTTCCTGTTGTCTACAGAGGCCCAAAAGCTAATGAGAAAGTAAATGAAAAACCCTGACTCCAAACTTCCAACTCTCTCTGTGGTGGTTACTCATTTAAAAGGCAGTCCTTACCACATACTTGTTATATGGCTTCTGAAAACTTATATAATATGCATACATAATTATATAAACATAAAATTATGCATATGAAATACATATACAGTTCCCCTTATAAATGACTATTTTTATCCGCAGAGTTGGTTGCTGGAGTTCCCAGAGGAGCGCAGAATTTTGGATATGTGAGTATTGGGAATGCGTTCTAGGGTGCTTTCAATTTCAGGCAACTTTGAAGTTTTTAGAGGTTTTCTCTAATAGTGAGCTCCTCCTAGTGATTCACGCTCAGTAAAATGGAAGGAAGCCATATGAGGTTAGCTCTGGTCTGATCCATGCGCAGGCTCAGCTACGTTATGAGTAAGACCTGTGCAAAATGAAAACGCAGGACGCCCTGTAACAATTATTGAAGCCTGCTGGACAGCGACAGCAGAGAATTCCACCAAAGGTGAGGCCCACCAGGCACTAGGCTCTGTCTGGCTGCACAGGTCCCACAGCTGGGAAGGCAGCCCTGCCTCTGTGGGTCATCTAGGACTCACGTGGAGGAGGCCACTGTCACGAGGAACACTTTAGGAAGAGGGGTCTTCAAAAAGCCTGTGGAAAAATGGAAGCAAATGGTAAGTTTGCATTAGCACAGATAATTTTTGAAACCCATGCAGTTTTTTCATAATATTCATGTTCCATGGACTTTTTGAAGGCCCTGGATTTTAATTTTTTTACACCAAAATAAATTTATTTTTAAGTTGCATTTCCCATGAACTACTTGAAACACATTCATGTCTCATGTGGCAGAAAATTTTTTAAGAAATCAGTTGTTATTTCAGTGGTATCTGAGTGAAATGATCACCAGCTGGGTGGTTTAAACAAAAGCTGCTATTCTCCCACAGTCCCGTAGGCTAGAAGTCTGAAATCAAGGTATAATGGGGCATGCTCCCTGGAATGCCCCGAGGGAAGGGTTCCCCTTGGCTTGTTCAGCTGCCAGTGGCTCCTGGCCCTTCTAGGCTGTGGCAGTGTCAGTTCCACCTCTGTTTCTGTCGCCACAGGGGTTCTCTCCTGCTTCTGTGGGACCACTCACTGGATTGAGGGCTACCTGCGATGAGCTCATCTTAAGATCCTTATCGAGTTTCATCTGCAAAGATCCTAGTTCCAAAATAAGGGCACATGCTGAGGTTCTGGGTAGGCATGAAGGTAGGGGAGACACTGTCCAAGCCATTAGTAGGAGCTAGGACAAATGACTACCATGAAATTAGGAAAAGAACATAGATAGACTGTATAAAAAGAAAAACTTTTATTTCAAATAATGTTTGTCTTCTCACAAACATCTAAAAAACTTAACGTTTATGGGATTGGCTGGTTAGAATTATAAGGGATGTTATTGCTTTATGGATGGCATTTCTAAATTGCATTTTGTGAAAAAGAGCTATAATTATTCATTGTAATAATAACTAAAGGACAAAAATAGACAGATAAAAATCCTGATGAAATAAATTAACTAACCAACAGGTTAATTTCTGTCGGCATTCCTAAATTCAACTTTTACTTTCCCACTTGAGAATAATAAGCATGCATTTAGTTTTGAAAGCATCCCAGGCTTATGTACAAACAAAACATTTGATCAACTTTTTCCCCAGGTCATTCTTATGGGTTTGCATTTTATTTTATATAGCTAACCATTTGTCACTCTTCATAAACATTTTTGAATGATGCAAATTGTAATTTGAAAAAAGGCTCTAATTCTCTATCAAATGATATCCCTGTACAATTTGTGTGATTTCAGGTTTCAATCATTAACTCTACAGATATGACTTTTATTCACAATTTCACTGGTGAACAGGTAAATACACCTTATTTTAAATGTTTATTTGTTTTACTTTATTTGAAGACAGTGGGGGGTGGAGATCTCTTTCATCTGTTGGTTCACTCCCCACAACATGCCCCTAACAGTCATGGCTGGGCCAGACCAAAGACAGGAGCTGGAACTCAATGCAGGCTTCCCGGATGGGTGGCAGAGATTCAAGTACGTGGACCATCATCTCCCCATCATCTGCTGCCTGTCAGAATGTGTCCCAGCAGGAAGCAGAAGCAAACGAGTGGGAACGCAAAGCAGCACTCTGATGTGGCGTGCGGGCCCCCACGTGGTGATGACCACTGCGGCAGACACCCATCCAAAGACATTTTAATAGGGAACAATTAATGTCACTCTGCCTCCCTTCCTCTCTGTCACTACAGCCTTCCTCTGAGCCACAGTGTTTTGTGGAGTCCTGGCAAGCTATTGGCCCCTTCCTCCTAGTGACTAGATACTAGTCTAGATAGCTTCTTGCTGTCATTCCCTGGGGTCCTATAGTTAAAGGGTCAATTGTCTGAACATCGGACACTGCCGCCCTCCTGACCTGATGTGATCTAGACCACATATCATCTGTCACCCTGGATTGTCCTATGACTTGGTGAAATGCGTCAGACTGCTTTTATCACTGGATGTGGCACCGTCCTGCCAGCTAAGGGAGCCAGTGTGGGTTGCGTTTCTCTGTTCAACTGACTCTGTCTCCTCCCCACCATCCCAAGTTGCTGGGGTTCCCTAGCAAGACTCACACTTGAACCTGGCCAAGTGACACCTTGACTTTCTGGAGATCATGGTTTAAAATCCTCAACTCTTAGCTAAAGATATGAATTTTAGGCAATAGGTTTGTCCAAAAAAAGAAAAAACACCAAACTTTGACTAGCAGTATTTTTAAATGAATACAAAGCATTATTGGCATTTTTGGATTTTGCCAGAATTTGGGACTATAGTCTGTCTATTACTCTGAAATGCTCAACAAAGCATTTCACAGTCTCATGGCACTCCTAGGAAGATGGATGGATTTATAAATTTTGAGTGATTCCTAAAGTGTGGGACTTAGTGATCTAATTAATCCCCACAAGATTTCTCCTTTGTTCAGGTCAGTTTTTGTATATTTTTAATCATTTGATTTTTTAAAAAAATTGTGAAATTTGGTCATTCTGTAACTTTTTTTCTCAGTAGCACCTACTTCTGGGATCCTGAACCTTGTGCAGGCCACACACGCCACATAATAAAGTCATTACATATGGAGAAGGCACTTGCCTAGCAGTTAAGACACTAGTTAAGATGCCTGTAACCCACACAGTACTATTTGGGTTCTACTCCCCTCTCGGGATGTACACGCTGGATGGCTCAAGTAATTGGTTCCTGCCACCCACCCCACGTAAGAGACCTGGATAGTTTCTTGCTCCTAGTTTCAGCCCTGATGCATTGCAGTCACTTTACAAGTAAAGTAGCAGATGGGAGCTTTCTCTTCTTCCCTCTCAAATAAATATATTTTTAACAAAGAATTCCCATGTATGTCCTTAGAATAGAGAAAAGATGAGGAGTCAAGTGATTGTGCACCACTTGGTAACTTAGCTGATCCCTCTGCAAACAGCGTCTGGCACCTGGGACCTCCATTGGCACGAACACTGGTCAGGCAGTGCAGATGGAAGAGTGGACAAATCCCATCTGCCTTCTGCGGAGCACACTCTCTTGTGGCTTGTGTGCTGGTTGTTGGTAGATGACGGGAGCTCAAACACTGGATAGCAGACTATGGAAACAACATTGGCAAGCTAACGCTATGGGCCAGATTTTAAAAGATGATAAATCCTGTAAACATAGTTGAAAAAAATAAAAACTTCAGAGAAAAAGAAAACATGGGAAGACTATAGTGCACTTACTTAACTCCTGGAAAACATTTAGGAGCGTTTGTTGCCTACAAGTTCAATGTAAATCGGTACTGAGATACGGGTTCCCCCCAAGTTAAGATGATTTTCACCCTTCAGTAATGTGAAGAGCCTGAAGTAGAAAATATAAATCTGACTTAATACCTCTGTGGGTGCGTTGTGACTGTCATCTACCCGTAGGTTCCACAGGTGATATCTTTAAGAAGCAGGGCCTGAGAGGGTGAGCCCCATGAAAATATATTCTTATGAGACTTCATCTGGAAGTGGAATTATTTATTCTGTGAGATACAAGGTTGCAGGACAAGGTGAGATGAGGGCCTGGAGGCTATGGAAGGGCCACATGTAGCAAAGAACCTTCTAATAGTTGCACTACCAAGTCAATAGGCTGATTGTTGAACATCTCCAGAGGATGTCCAAGCAGATGTCAGGGTTACTGCGGGGACAGTAACTTGTTGGGTCAGGAGTTAGACTAAATGACTTATCCAGAAGTCTGTGGATTCAAACACAAAAATGTACCTCAATGAGATTAATCTTTCAAGAGTAATTGAAACGGAACTATAAAAATGACTTGGGGAGCATAAAATATGTCATCTTACGGTTTGCCTTTGCAGATGGCATCGTATTTTGGATACACCGTTGTAGTGTCAGATGTTAACAATGACGGGTAAGTTTATAAGACCTTCCTCACTCACTGTATGTTCTATTCACCCATAAAGATGTTATCGTTTTCCTTCACAAAATACATCCTTCCGGGCTCCTGCTACAAGATAGAGGCTCTCTTGTTTTAGCTTTTTTTTGGTTCAGGACAAGAGGGTACATCTATTAAAGAATTCTCTGTCATCCTGTTTTATGGCTTCACTGAGATTTTCTACATCTGCCACTTCTAGAAGAGGACATTTTATTCAGTTTTATTTTTAATTTTATGAAGTGAATAGTCCTTGACCATTCCAAATCAATAGCTATGGAGGAATTTGTTCATCTGTCTCCCTTCTTTCCCCTGGGGGATGATACATTCATAAAACATTTGGCATAAATGGATTTTTTTTCCTCCTGACACTGCTTTAACCAGTGTGCTGGTAACACTCCTGGAGAAGATTAAATAGCAGTATGTTTCGTTACACTGAGATGAAACTACAGTTGAGTTTGGGCCAAGCAGGGTGATAAATTATGTTTCACCATTGTTACTTCAAAATAAATTATCATTGAGCACCTGCCGGGTAAATGAATGAATCAAATAAGAAAGTCATTAGGTGGAGATGTAGTGATTGGCCATCCAACAAATACTGTGTTGCATATGTGCCGGGCGTTGTCATCCATGCCCAGAATACTGTGCAAAGGTGAGTAAGACAGACTGGGTCTCTGCCCTTCTGGAGCTCACATTTTCATAGAAAGCAACTTTCTGAAGAATCCTTATGATGTTCCTGAATGCAGGCTGAGCACTTTAGATACACCCTGGTAATTTCCTTTATGTATTGAGCTGTGGAACATAACTGGAGATAAATTTATTAACTTGTGTACCTTTTAGAAAACATCCTTTACTTTTTTTATGTGTTCCTCGAGCATGTATATATTTCATTTATTTCTTGAGCATCTGCTATGCACCAGTCCTAGGTGCTGAGAAGGAAAAAAAAAGGGCAAGAGCCAAAAGCAACAAGATGTCCTTTGGTAGGTGAGTGGATAAATAACCAGTGACACATCCAGACAAAGAGGTGGTTTTTTCAGCACTAAAAAGTAAGGAGATATCAAGTCATGAACAACATGGAGAGGCCTTAACTGCCTACCACTAAGTCAAAGAGCCAGTCTGTAAAGGCCACATACTATATGGTCCCAAGCATATTATACATTGGAAAAGACAAAACTGTGGAAACAGGAAAATGCTCCATGTATGCCAGGAGTTCTGGGGGAGGGAAAGAGGGATTAATACAAAGAGCAAAGAGGAATTTTTGCTGTGACACTATTGTATAAGATATCGTACTAAGTGGATATATGGAATCACACATTTATTTACATTCACCAAGAGTGACCTCAGCATAAGCTATAGTCTTTGGTTGAGAATGAATGATGAGTGAATGCAGGTTAGCAGATCACACCAAATGCACTACCCTGGAGGATGCCATGGTAGGACAGGCTGGCAGGAAGGGAAAAGGTGAGAACTGCGTCTTTTCTGCTCAAATACACTTGCAATCTACAACTGCCTTAAAAAGTAAAAAGTCTATTAATTAAAAATAGAAACAAGGGTTGGCATTGTGGCATAGTGGGTAAAGCTGCCACCTGTGACACCAGCATCCCATATGGATGCTGGTTCAAGTCCTGGCTGCTCCACTTCCAATCCAGCTTTCTGCTAATGTGCCTGGGAAAACAGTGGAAGATAGCCCAGGTCCTTGGGTCCCCCTGCACCCACATGGGAGACTTGGAAAAAGCTCCTGGCTTCCGGCTTCGGACCAACCCTGCCCTGGCCATTGAGGTTATTTGGAGAATGAACCAGCGGACAGAAGTCCACTGTCTGTCTGTGTAACTCTGCCTTTCAAATGAATAAATCTTTTACAAATAATTAAAATAAAAAAGAATATATAGAGAGAATATTAGCAAGGATTCAACTTTAAATCAGGTAAGTTGGAAAGCCTCAGGAGTAAGATTACAGTTGAGGAAACACCTAGAGAAACGAGGAGAGAAGCCATGATGCTGCGTTGGGGAGGAGTGCTCCCAATAGAACAGCCGGTGCCCAGAGGTGGAAGCTCCCTGCGTATCTGAGGCAAAGCCAAGAGGTGCGATGAGTGAGCTGTGGGGCGTGGGATGGTGCAGGTGCAGAGGCCACCAAGCCACCACACAGTGCCTCACAGGCCCTGCTGTGGGGCACGTGAGTCTATCTCCAAGAAGGACACCGTGTCCTGTGTGTTGTGGAGGATGGAGCCTGCCTAGACTGGGTCCTTGTATGTAACCTCTGCCCATCTGGTTTTCTGGGAGTCTGGTGTCAAATGCCAGGGGAGCAAAGACTGTGGACCAAAAGCCTGCAGTGGGGGATACAGGAGTAGTTGTACTCTGGGTGTATTTTGAAGGTTTAGGTGAGCACCCATATTATCCTGGGAAGCAGTTGACTTAAAATGAAATCGCCAGGGCAGGCCTTTAATCTCACAGTTAATTTGCTAGTTAAGATGCCTGCTTCCCAAAGTCCATGCGTTTGAGTCCCAGCTCTGACTGTTCCCTCCAGCTTCCTGCTAACGCAGGCTCAGGGAGGCAGCAGTGCTGGCTTAGGTCGTTGGGTCCCTGCTACACGCTGAATTGATTTCCCAGCTCCCAGCTTCAGCCCCATCCCAGCTACATCCATTGTGGTCACTTAAATAGTGAACCAGAAACCACAGTGTTTCTCTCCCTCTCATTCCCTCTCTAGTAAATAAATAAAATTTCCTTAATCTCCTTCAGTTATCTTAGTAACCATAAGAATCAACATGCAAGATTCCCAACTTAGATGCAATATAATCAAGGCTTTTTAGAAAGAAAAGCTTGAAGCTAAAACATAGGCTGCCATTTAGAATCTTCAGGCTCACTCTACAGTGAAAACATGCCTTTTACATATGCATGGACACATGGACACATGGACACATGCATGTACTCATTGACACGTATTCGTGGACACATGGACACATATACATGCACACATGGACACATATGCATGGACACATGGGCACATGCATGGACACATGGATATAGATGCATGGACATGTATGTGTGGACTCATGGACACATATGCACGCACACATGACCACCTCAATAAGCCGTCAGACAACAAACTCAAGGGCCATTTGGTTTAGGCTCCTCACAGGCCCCAGATCCACTCCATCAGTCATTCCCATTTGCAAATCCTCACAACTTTTCCAGGCTTTACAATATGCCCTGTAGGGCACTCTTTCCTTCCTGGAAATAAGCTTATTCTCATCTGCAGCAGAGTTTTGTGACAGTGTTTATAGTACATGTTTTTGTCATGTCAAGAAAATAAGACTTTCAAGAAAAGGAACCCGTTGGCTTCCTGATGATCAAAAGGATATGGTAAAAGACACAGGAATTTTCAAATGATGATTTGTTCTCTTGATGTTCTTAAAAATTGCAATGCATAGAATTTCTTTTATAGTAGGTAGTATTTTCTGATTACTTTAGACTGCTTTAAAATGCCTGCTAACTTAATATTTCCATTCTTAAAACTAAAGTGCCCATAAGAGTCTTGGTGTCTATGTAATTTGCTGTTTTTAATTACTTAGATGCTATGAAAAGTTAAGGTTCCTATTATAAATAAGTATACTCTTGAAGCAATTGAGATTGATCAAAGAAAAGATCCAGATAAAGACATATAATGCAAGTGAAATCTGAGACTATAATAATGGTGATACGTATATATTCTATATATATGAATATCACCATTATATATATATATTATATATATATCCTTAAGAAAATCACTTGGCTAGGTGATTATTCATGGATCAGAAGTGAGGACCCCCCCCCCCAACACACACATACAGAATTCAACCAGACTTTCTCTATGCAACAAAAGCAAAATCCCTACAACTGCGGCAAAATCTAAGTCCATGGTTGAGGGTGGCATGGAGACAGTGTGATTAAGCACAGAAACCAGGGAAGCAAATTGGTGGACATTCTTCCTAGTTGGGTTTTTTTTTTTTTTTTTTGCAAAAGCTTATACCCAAACAGTGTGCACATGCTGGTTGGTGGTTGATACTGTCAACCCTGTGACAGTTTTGAAAATATAAACAAACTGACAAAACTAACTTGGGTTTAGTTATGTTAAGACAGCCAGTACTGCAAACTCTGTCAATATAAACTTTGTTAGGAATTTCAGAAGAAGCTTGTCAGCCACTAGTGGAGAAGTGGAGATGATATTTTTCATTTTGTGCCTAAGCAAGCAAACCTGGTTGGTTGGTTGGTTTTTTCCTTTTGGCTTCTTTTGTTTTTTTCCTCTTCACAGGCATTTATTAAGAATACGCTTCTTTTGCAGTATTTTGAAAAGTTATACTTACAAACCACTTGCATTTTCTGAATTGCAATTGACAGGTTAGACTATTTTCCTCATGATTCAGATATTAATATATTTAAAAGGTAGCCATGTCTTCCACAATCACTATTGAGTCATTAGGCTCTAAAGGGAACAATGGCCCCTGGGAAGCACTGTTTCATATGGAGACAGAGAAAGAGAGAGGCACATATTTTCCTCCCTGTCTTCAAACCAATAAAATAATTAGAATTTAAAGATAAGACATTGGCCGGTGCCACGGCTCACTAGGCTAATCCTCCGCCTGTGGCGCTGGCACTCCAGGTTCTAGTCCCATTTGGGGCACCAGTTCTGTCCTGGTTGCTCCTCTTCCAGTCCAGCTCTCTGCTGTGGCCCGGGAAGGCAGTGGAGGATGGCCCAAGTGCTTGGGCCCTGCACCCGCATGGGAGACCAGGAAGAAGCACCTGGCTCCTGGCTTCGGATTGGTGCAGCGCGCCGGCCATAGTGGCCATTAGGGGGGTGAACCAATGGAAAAAGGAAGACCTTTCTCTCTCTAACTGCCTGTCAAAGAAAAAAAAAAAAAAGACATCAACATGACCCAAATGGCAAAGTTACTTTTAGTAAAAGCCACATGATTAATACTATTTTTCAAACATTGCTCATTT